GGGTCGTAAATCAAGGCACCATGTATCTGTATTTGTAATATTTTCAGGCTATGGATAAGTGAATTGGCAGATACTGACCTCGTGAATAAGGGAATCCGACTGTACTGGCAGCCTAAGAAGCATTTTTAATGGATTGTTGTGCCTTTATTGCTTTTGAATGCATTTTGTTTCCCATTTTTACCATGACATTTAATTCTTTTTAAATAGTTGTACACTTACTGCTTTTAGTATTGTTTTAAAGGACGTAACCTGCCATAGGTCCTTTTTAAGGAGGCAGGTAGGGTAAAAATAATTGAAATAAAATAAACACATGCATATTCTTGGGGGTGGAGCATGAAGCAAGGCTGTGTCAAATTAAACTATAAAAAATTCGTTTCAGTTTCTATGCGAGTCCGTAGGCGTGCAAACCCAAAACAGATAGAATCATGGTTGCTTTCTCTTTGGTTTTTGGTTATTTTTGTATTAGACAATGAAAAAACTAAAAGTCATGGCTAAAAATTAACACTAAAAATTGGGGAAAAAAGATAAAAGCTATATAGATAGAAATAAGTCTATCAAAATGAAATGCATAATAAAGACATAAAAAGAAACTGAATAAAATGGCAAGATTTTGTAAAACCAAATAAAGAGGCGGGAAAGGGGGACTGAACGCGCCTTTACCTCGCGACACGTGTCTGCACCACGTCATTGCACGTGAACCAAAGTTCCTCTAGTTGCCTCCCTTTCTACGGAAACCCGGCCGAGACACACCGCCCCGCTCCGCAGTTTCCAGTTCCGCCCGACCACCCGCCGAGTCTCGACGCCCAATCAGAAACAGCCTATCCCCACCCTTTCCCGGAGGCCCTCCCCTCGGGCCAATCAGAAGACCGCGCGACGGTGGCGCGGCCCAGCCAATCAGCGGTCGCCACCTCTCTCCGCCGCCGCCCTCTTCCTTTCCCTCAGGGTTTGGCCACCACCGCTCACTTTCCCTCACCAGGCTTTGGGCGAAGGAGTGGACCATGCCGCCGGGCCTCACGTCGAACTCGGCCGCGGTGGAGGCCTCCTCCGCCCCGGCCGCGGAGAGGAGGAGGAGAGGGAGGAGGAAAACGACGGCCCTCACGGCCTCCCACAGCCGCCGGCCGCTGACTAGCCTGGGCGCCGCCATTTTGGAAAGGCGGAGAACGTGGGGGCGGGGCCAGGAATGAGGGGAAAGCTAGGGCGTGCCGGAGCGACCAAATCACCTCTTTCCCTCTGCGCAGTCTCCTTTGTCTACCCGCGACGCTGAGGCGACCATTTTAGGGCCGGACAGAGCCGCACTTCCTAGGGCGATTTAACTCCATCGTAGCCAAATTTGTTCTATAGCAGTGGTCCTCAACCTTGGGCCTCCAGATGTTCTTGGACTACAACTCCCAGAAGCCTTCACCATCAGCTGTGCTGGCTGGGGTATCTGGGAGTTGCAGTTCAAAAGCATCTGAGTAACAAAGGTTAAGAACCACTGTTCTATAGGATGTCTTGAGCCGCTCCTCTCTTTCCGGAAGACTCAAGGCGGGTGGTTTTAAAGACCTAGTCCCTAATTATTAGCTAATTATCACTTTTTAAAAAAGATAATCTGTAGTGAAATGATTAGAGCATTGGAGCACAGCCAGTTTTCCCCAATGGGGACAATGGAATTGTAGCCCACCCCTTCGATGGAGGATGATGGAATTGTAGTCCAGCCATGCTCAGGCGCCAGATTTAAGAAAAGTAATGCTAAATTATCTGGACTCTCCCCCCAAAAAGACCAGTCATTAAAATCATTGTTTTTTAAAAAATCATGTTACATTTTTTTTAAAAAAATCATTAATTACAATTATAAATAAGTCATGTTATTTTTTAAAGCCGCCCACAGCAGTGGCTTTTCCGCTAAATGTGTGTGTGTGTGAGAGAGAGAGCGAGAGAGAGAGAGAGTCTAAACCAAAAAATAAAATAAATAATCTGATTTCTTCTCCCAGGAAATTGGATATAAGATGGCATGCGCTGTGCATGTTTACCAGAGCTGGAAACTTGACATTTTGGTGCTTCAACGCAATGCAACCAGTCCTGACCATGAGCCCCACCCACCCATAAAAGAGAACGAAAAAGTTCATGCTTTAAAACAAAACAAAGAATTAATACCACCAGCAGGCATTGCTATTTAACAATCACCAGTCAATTCAGCTTTAGATCCTTTGGTGGGAGGGGGAGAATCTCCTTTATTTCACCTTCAAGTTTACGGTCTGGGTGTTTACTCAGAAGTCAGTCTCTTCAGTTCAATGGAACTTCCTCCCCGCGCAGTGTGCAAAATAGTCTTTGTTACTGTTATGTGTAAATGTCCCCACTTCCTGTCTTTACAGGACATTCTTTATGTCCTGAAGGCAGTAGGGAAAGAGGAATATGCAATGGGAGAGGGACAGACCCCCTAAAGGAAACCATGACTTTTGCATTTGCAAGAGCTGAGCAGGGCCGTTGAGGGCCGGAAGCACCTCAACAACACCAAACAACAACACAACAGGGCTCATTGCTGTTGCTCTATAAACGGGACCCAAGATTCTTAAACCTGCATTCTGTGTCTTTCGACGTAAAGCTGTTACAGCCAGTAATTAATCTGTGGGGAAAAAAAGTTCCATGCAAATGTCGGGAAAGGGCCAAACCATGGAGATGGGTGTCCATTTCAGGAACTCGATGGCCTCAGAACAGGGCTGGATTCGGCCGCAGCACCAGATAACAAAGGAAAAAAAGGTGTGATCATCTGGAAAATCCCCTGAAGGTTAACTTTGGGGTTCCCCTTTCTTTCCTTAGTTGACCGGCTACGTAAAAGCGATTTTAAAATAGGGTCTTTCTATGGTTGCTTTTAAATCTGCTTTAGTGATGCTTTTGCCAGTTCTAAATATAATCATCCTTATTGAATTATTTTTAAATATTTGAGCCATCTCCTGTTCCTAGTTTATTCTGCTTTTAAGGGCTTTTTTTTTTTAAAAAAAGGTGGGGTTAAAACATTGTAAATAAATAAGATTCCACCGCTGTAGCTGCTACCCGACACTGCCTCGCATGTAGAAGACTCCTCCAGTCAAAACATGCTTTTCCACCTCTTATCTTTCCTACTGCACAGTCACGGATCTTGTCCTCGCCCCCCCCCCCACCGCTCCCAGCCACGGCGATTCCAGAGCAGCAGGTGGAAAATCAGTCCTGTCTTTTTAGAACCCAAACATCTCCTATATGGAAAGATGAGCAGGAGAGCGTTGAATTGATTTACTTTCAATTTTTTAAGTGCAATTACAATGCTAATTCTAATGAATTAAGCACAATGGCCTTGATGCTACCAACAGACCAAATGGTATTTATTTATTGGACCCAATCTTGTTTGGTTTCAGGACGGGACGTTTCTGGCAACTCTTCCTCCGCGCTTCCCCAGAGATCCGTGAAAGTGAGAAGAAGGACGAGACGCTCAAGAGGTGCCCTTGTGTTTAAATTTTCTCCTCCAAAGCCGGGAAGGTTTGAGGAGACAAAACGCCTGCTTTTGCCCCGTCGTCTGGTTACAAGGTAGGATAGCTCGCATCACTGGCCACCCCGCACTGGTTATTCATCTCTCTAGCCAGCCGCATGTAGCCTTTCTCACCCCATGTTTTAGACCAGCTGTGCAGAAGAAAAAAGCAAAAGGTGAGGACCATCGTTTTCGAGATCTGACCCCCAGCCCCTCAATAGGGTGGGAAAGATGGAGGAGCCGCTCTGTGTTTCAGTCCAAACTTTAAAGGCACTCTCCAAGCCCGTACTGGTGGGTTAGGGGTCGGCCCCTTGGCTACGGCGCCTGCCTGCAAATCATACAGGCTGGGGAAACTTTGTGGGGTAGCAAACGGAGGAGCTTCTTGGGGCAGTGATTGAACTGCAGTATTGCCGCCGAAACTCTGCTCACGACCCGGGTTCAATCCCAGGTAGTTGGCTCGAGGTTCACTCACCTTTCTGTCCTTCCGAGGTCAGTAAATTGAGTACCTAGCTTGCTTATGGAATGATGTAGCCTCCATATTTAAATTGTAAACTGCCTGTCTGTCATGGGTTTGGAGGGAAAGTTCCATCCTATGGGGAGTGGAAAACTGGGATGTGGGCTAGATAAAACAACGGTCAGGTGGCTACACCATTGGCTACAGAATCGTACCCAGAAGATGATGATTAAGGGCTCCTTCTCAAACTGGGAGGAGATAACAACTGGGGCACCCCAGGGCTCCGTCCTGGGCCTGGCATTCTTCAACATTTTCATGAATGACCTGGATCAGGAGATCCAGGGAATGCTAATCGGATTTGCAGATGACACAAAATTGGGTGGAAGAGTGAATACCCTGGAAGACAGACGCAAAACTGGAAATGATCTGGATAGGCTAGAGCACGGGACTGAAAACGATAGGATGAAACTCAACAGGGATCAGTGTCCTGCACCTCGGAAAAAGAAACCAATTGCACAATTGCAAGGTGGGGGAATACCTGGCTCAGCAAAACTACAAGCAAGAAGGACTTTGGAATCATTGTAGATCCCAGCCTTGAAAGGCTGTCCTACAGAGCAGGATCTGTCCTCAATCCACCCAGAGTGCAGGACATGCAACCATGAGCTCAAGGGACAGGAAGTCAGATTTTGGCTGAATTTCGGGAAAAACTTTGTAACTGTTAAAGCAGTACAACAACGGGACCCATGACCTCGGGAGGTGTTGAGCGCTACAGCACTGTGGCGGCATTCATGAGAAATTGAGACAACCACTGGTGGATCTGCTTTGAGTTGGATTCCTGCCTTGAGCAGTGGGTTGGACTGGATGGCCTTAGAGGCCCACTTCATGATTTTATGATATATAAGCAACACACTTTACTTTTGCTTTTTGCTTCATCTGCTCAAGGTGAGAAAACGCCCACCTTGATTGTGGGTGAAGCAGCTGTTTTGGCTGCCTTTAGACGGTCCACAAACTTGAAGCTAAGAAAAAAGGATGAGCAGATCACCTAAAAATTACGTTTGGGGACTACACTTTTCAGCCTGTGTGGGAATTTTTGTCCAGAAAAGGAACTTCCACAAGGTGTTTGGAAGAGAAATTGAGCGCTGTGAACATCTAAGGAAGCAGGACAGTGTTTTAGAGTCACCCTTCCTGGAGATGAACATGGGTTAATAACCTCACAAAAATTGGCTTTTGAATTGCATAGTTTTAAAAAGGGAAATACAGTTGGACCCCCATATCCACGGAATCAGTATCCGCTGATTCACTTATCTGCAGTCTAAAAATATTAAAAGAAAAATTCTAAAAATAGGTTTTTAAAGATGAAGCTACCAGGCACTGGCCACTAGATGGAGCCAGAGACCATGAGTTTCTAAAGATGTAGCTACCAGGCACTGGACACTAGACGGAGCCAGAGACCATGCTATGTATAACATTCACTATTAAAAGAGTGTTCACTATTATCCACATGTTTCAGCATCATGGTTATCCCACTGTATGCATGTCTTTTCCCCAGCACTTCTGCCTCCTCTTTCTCACCTGTTCTTCAGGATCCAGTATTTTTTAATTTTCTGTGCGTCATCATCTTTGACGGTGCCATAGCCGACTGCCAGCATCCCGTGGTTCAAGAAGTCACCACACCCTTTTTGGTAGAAGATTCCTAGACACAGGAGGAATCGGGTGATGGCAGAGAAATGTGGAAGAAAACAGAGAAGGTTTCAGAGAAAGTTAAGGGATCCGGAAGCATGGTCCAGGTTTTAGCCTGCACTTGCTTCTTCGTTCCTTTTGGAACTGGTCACCCACGGGGTCACCCTCAAGCAACACAAAAGACCTAAGAGGTCTTACCTGACTTGTAAAAGGCGAAATCGCTAGCATCCACGGCCACAGAAACAGGGCCAACCTTGGCGACAGCTCGTTTCAAGTCGGTTTCGTTCTTTTTTTTGATCTTCACCAGTGAGGTGCATGTGGCGGCTCGGTCGGAAGGGTTGAAACGACACGGCCCATCCTGCAAAGAAAGAGTAGCTGCAGTTTGCAGTCTTCCCACAGAAGGAACGGAAGATCTCCGTGGTGAACTGAGTCCGGAGAGGGGAGAAAATAAGAAGGATGGAAAGACATTTCATCTGCAGTAAACAGAAAAAGACACGCTGTTTGCTCGGAAGGATGCAATTAACCCATCCGAGGCAGAAAAAGACAAGCTGCTCCGAAGGATGCAGTTAACCCATCCGAGGCAAAGAAAGACAATCTGCTCCAAAGGATGCAATTAACCCATCCGAGACAGAGAAAGACAAGCTGATCGGATGCACTTAACCCCTCAGAGGCAGAGGAAGACAAGCTGCTCAGAAGGATGCAATTAGCCCATTCGAGGCAGAAAAGACAAGCTGCTCCGAAGGATGCAATTAATCCATCTGAGGCAGAGAAAGACCAGCTGCTCAGAAGGATGTAGTTAACCCATCTGAGGCAGAGAAAGACAAGCTGCTCAGAAGGATACAATTAACCCATCCGAGACAAGCTGCTCAGAAGGATGCAATTAACCCATCCAAGGCAGAAAAAAGAACCTGTTTGGTCAAAAGAATGCAAACAATCTGTCCAACCCTTTTGCTTTTTAATAGTCCATGCAAGAGGGAACCAGTCTGAGATCCACGTGAGATGCTGTTTGGGTTTTCATCTGTACCGCAGAGCACAGCATTTCCCAGTTAGTTAACAAGTTAGCCGCCCCGAGTAGACATGGTCTAGAGGGGCGGGGTATAAATTTAATAAATAAATAAAATAAATAAATAACATGTTACCTCTCCTTCATAAGGGTAGGTCTTCTCTGAGTTGATCCCCTTGTTCACCCGGACATACTTGAAAGCCCAGTTCATGAATCCGCCGTCGCACCCTTCGTTCCCCTGCTTCCATGAGCAGTCCACCAGGTTCTGTTCACTCAGGGAGACCAGCTTGCCAGTTTTCTTGAAATGCAAGCCTTCGAGGGCCCCGGTCGCGCTGAAAGCCCAGCACGACCCACAGTCACCCTTGCAAGAGAAAGAAGAAGGAAGAAACGAGAAGCCATGGGAACTCTGATCTGGGGCTGTCTAAAATTTAATTTAATCCAATACTATTTTTTTAAGGGAAGTAAGAAAAAAAGAAGAAGAAAAAGGAGAACAACCGGGGAACGCACACAGAGCATGTAACTAGTAGAAAAAGAAAAGGGGAAAGGAAAAGCAGAAGAAAAACACAAGATAAAGTTCAGTGCTTTAGGTCTTTAATTGCAAAGCTAGAGGTTGAGAGTTCGAATCCACCCCACACACACACACAGGGCCTCCTTGATGGGGGTGTACTCCATGATCCGGAAGGTCCCTTCCAGTTCTGCTGTTCTAAGATTATTCTAGACATGACCCAGGCTTTTAAAAGTATCTTTGCCTTTTAAAAAAGCATTTTAAAAAAAGCAGATCGGTATAACCAATCTGTTTTGCGGACGCCTCTCCATGTTTCACCACTACCAAATTAATTTTCTTCTCGCTGAATGAGGCCTAAGTCCTAAATAACCGGCAGGCTGGAGAGCTCGGGAGTTAAGGTTCTCTGGCTAGAGAGCCAGAGGTTGGGAGTTCAAATCCTCCCCGAGTCTCCCGAGAGAAGAGCCAGTAGCCTTGGGCCGGCTGCAGGGTCCCAGAAGAAGAGAAGGGGGAAACGTGCCCTGGAGAACCCTGGAAAGGGTCGCCATAAATCATAACTGACTTCATTGCACATGTTGATGATGATGATGGCTAAGGATTAGAAGTAGCTTGTCCCAGAGAACATACTCCCCTATATCAAGTCACTCTTGGAGGAAGAAGTGACATAAAAGTTGCAAAATTACTTTTCTGGTATAAAGAGTAGCACCCAAGTCACTCAGATGTAATACTGTAATGAGTAAACCTCGTTAGTTTCAGAGAGAAAAAAAACTACTTCTGAAGGTCCTTTTAATGAGCATTTTATCTCCTTCTCTCATCAGTCTGATGAAGGGCAGATGCTTTGTAAAGTGAATGGCTCTGGATTGTCAATTCTAGACCAAACCCCCCTTCAAGCCGTCTGCAGGACCACAAGGAAAACCTGGCAACTAAACTTAAAGAGGGGGAAAAAGCAAAAGGAAGCTGGGGGGGATGATGTCAGAAGCCATGTGGTGCAGAAAAGGGATGTGCTTCCCAGTGAATCGAGTCATGGACTAGAAGGCCTGGGTTCGAATCCTTGCCCAGCCATGGAAACTCCCAGGATGTGTGTGGAGGAACTGGTAATACCACTCCTTAATTATGTCACTGACCTTGAAGGGGTTGATGTAAGTCGGTCCCGATTTGTCAGCCCCAAACACACAATCACAGTAGACCCTTTGATGCAACGGGACGTACGTACGAGGGGGTTTCACAAACCACTGAATCAACAACATGGGGTTCCATGTTGGTTGTCTGAATTAGCGATAGATTCCGTGAGTCTATTTAAAATCCGACGAACCTCTGGATTGAGGCATTCAAGATTAGCGCCGCTTCCTGATTCTGCGCCCGGGAAAGGCGTGTGAAGCCCCTGATCCTTTTTTTTTAAGGAGTGGATATTTCCGCCCCGCATTTCCCGCCAGCTCACCTGGTCTTTCACCGGAGTGACATACCCCTTCTTGCGCCAGTCCACATGTTTCGGGAGCCCCTCACGGCCCGGGTCGCGGAACAAGGTCACGTTGCCGTCATCCTCTCCGTCCAGGTGGGGATGATACCTGTTCAGCTTCTGGACAAACTCCTCTTTAGTCTGTGGGGGGGGCACGCAGATGAATGAACACAAAGTGACTCCATTCAAGATAGGCTTTTTCTCGCCTGGCGTCCTGAGAAGCTCCTCTACACCACGAAGGGAAAAACTGAGCAGGTTTTCTTACCCCAGACCACTTTATATTAGAGGAACAGGTGCAAAAATTTAAAAAGGGTTTTCTCACTCTTTTTTCCCCTTTGCTCCCAAAATCAATGAGCCATCTATGGGAATGACGCTTACCTCCTTCAGATTTTCTTTTTTTGGGGGGGGAAAGAGGTTTACTCCCCCGTTTCTGAAAACACAGCTTTTTCTTTTTAAAAGGTGTTTAAAAAACAGCCGCCTGTTCATTGGGGGGAGTAAAACCTGAATGGCTGGATAGCTCGGTGGGTTTTAGATCTCTGGCTGTGGAGCCAGGGGTTGGGGGTTCAAATCCCCCACGGGTACTCCCTGATGGGGCTGGACTGGATGATCTACAGGGTCCCTTCCAGCTCTGCTGTTGTGGGATAATGATGATGATGATAGTCAGTTGAGGGGCTTAAGCATCTGGTTGGGGAGCCAGAGGTTGGGAGTTCAAATCCCCCTCACGGGGCCTCCTTGATAGGGGCTGGACTGGATGATCCTTAGGAGTCCCTTCCAGCTCTGCCATTCTAAGATTATCCTTTTAATGATGAATCCCCGTTGACTTTGTGCAATGAGTAGCCTACATAATTAAACTCTAAACGGCCCAGAGGGTGTCTTCACCACCGTGGGGCCCTATATAAGCAGCATTGCTTTCCAAAATGTCACCGTTTGAGTTTTAACATAGGGATAAGCAGCTGTCAGTGAATACACGAAGCATACAAGAAGGGGCCTGACCTCCATCACGGAGGTTATGAGTTGAGCTAAGAGACGATCAAGAAAGCAGCCACGCCCACCATTCTGCTGCCTCACCAAATCGCCAAGATGGTTCATGCCCAGCTGGTAGCTGTGTCTCCCTAGGGAAGCTTCCCAGTTATGTTCCTTGATCCCCTTCAGATTCTTCTCCCACACGGCTCTCCGGAAGTCCTCTTCCTGCTGCGGGGAAAGAGTCAGGGTGAAGCATGGCTGGGCCCCTCAGCTCCCGCCCGCTTCGGGCGGAAAAACAAGCCAGAGGAAGCCGGGGTATGGAAGAATTTGGCTCGGTGTCCATTTGGACCGATCTTCGGATACACCAGGGCCAGAGGGAGAAGAGGGGCTTCTGAGCATGCACAGACTCTGCTAGATGGGATTCACCAGGAGCTGGAAGTCAACCGTAGCTTCCTAAAACCTGAGAATCCCCGGGCAATCTTTGGATGGAGACACCCCCCCTTGAGAATTTCTTGACAAAACACCAAACAATTCACCTTGTTGTATATTTTAGCATAGGTGCTCTTCCACTCCCTCCAGGCTTCGTCCAGGGACGGATCCAGGCCGGTGGAAAAGGTCCTTAGCAAGGCCATCCAGATCCACGCGGAGACGGAGAGCCTCATCTCTCTGGAATACCAAGAAGCCACTTCTTGAGTTTTTTTCAGTTCCGTATCCGATTTCTCCTCCTGCCTAATCCTGATGCAGGCGACCACGAGGACTCTTTACCCCTCCAGTGGCTCAGAATGACAATCTCCTTCACTTTTTTTTTTGCTATTCGTTGGCCTCGGGTAACCTGGAAGACTAAATTCCAGAACATCCGAATGACCAGAAGTCCAGAATTGGACCTCTTTGAGCCCCATCTTCTAAACCTGTGGTTCTCAGCCTTGGATCCCCGGAGGTTCTTGGACGACCAGTCCCAGAAATCCTGGCCAGGACAGATCATGGTGAAGGCTTCTGGGCATGGTAGTCCAAGTCCCTCTGGGGATCCAAAGTTGGGAACGAGAACATTTCATCTAGCATGGGAGTTGTAGTCCCAGAAGGCCACCCTCCATCTCTGATCCTCATGGTCAACCCCTCTCCCCCCCCTCTGGAGACTTACCTGGGATAATACCTGATGAAGCTTGATGAGATTTAATTTGGAGCAATCTTGCCAAGGACTAGATGTTCCCCATCCGCCCTGTCGCTCACCGTTTTTCCCCCTTTCCTCTCCCACTGCTCTTTTCCTCTGTTGAAACTCCTTTTCCAGCCACGACAGATTTAAAGAAATGGTCTTTCTTCTCATCTCTTGCTCAGCCTAAGAGGAGAGCCAGAACTGAAACCCTGCTTTCCTGGAGTGGGGCGGTCCCCTTTGACTTCCTCTCTCCTGTTCTTTACAGGCCCTGTCCAGTTCAGTTTCCTGAAAATCGTGGCCCCAGAAACGGTTCGCCCTCCTTGAAACGTAAGTCATGCTTCTGAAGAAGACAGATCATCATCTCTCCTTAGACGCAGGTGGTCAGGACCCGATTCTGCAGAAGTGCTGATGAAAAAGAAGCATGGGCTGTTGGGTTCAGCTTTCTAAAAATTTGGCATGCGCCTTTCCCCCTTCCTGGAAAAGAAGTTTTATGGGGGGGGGTGTTGGAACGGGAAGGATTTGGGTTTCCTTTCTTTCAAGGTGCCCCTGTTGCAAAAAAGAGATTTCAAAGTGTATGACCAATACTTTGCAAAATCTCAGAAACGGTTTGTTTTTCCAGTTGTCATGGGGAAGGGGGGGGTTTCAGTCTGTGGTTAGGGTGCTTCCCCTTGTCCAAACCGCACGAGGTTAAGATGAAAGATGTGATTGATCCCCAAAAATCCTCTGAAGAATTTGGTTGAGCCGGAGAACTAAAGAGGAGAGGATGGGTTGCCTTTGCTGTCTTTTTCTCCTGGGGGAAGAGTGTTTTGCAAAAAACATTCGACCGCTGGGAAGGCGAACCGGCAGATCCTAGAGTAAACCTAGGCTAAGCCCTCCCTGGAGAGGAAAACAGGATGAAACGGAGGGTGAAGACAAAATCAGCTGGAAATGACAGCCAGGCTGGGAAGAGTGGGAAGCAGCAGGAAAAGAGGGAGATGGACTGACACCCTCCTGGAAGCCATGGGCTTAAGTTTGCAAGAACCGAGCCGGGCTGGAAATGGGAGAATGGCCTTAAGTCGGAGGTGACTTGATGGCACATCATGATAAAAAGAAAGATGATTAGTGCTTCCTTCAGGTGTCACTGGGCTGAGACTCCCATCCTCTCTTGCCATCGGCTGCTTAAGAGTGATGGGAATTGTAGTACAGCAGAGATCACCCTGCACCCAGGCCTGGGTTCACACCTACCTCTGTTTTACGGTTTTTGCATCCAGATAAGCATAGGAGCTTCCCTCAGATTCATTTTGGAGCGTGAAACATGCATCTTTTCAGTCTGGTTTCACTTCCTCCTCTTTATTTAACAACGGGCTGATCAAAGACATGACCTGTGTATCGCACCGGGTGCAACATGAGGCCTCCGGAAGAACAGCCGTTTTCATGCTTGGGTGCATATCCCTTACCCATATGTATCATGTTGGCATCCCCCTTTTCTCCCAAAGTTGGCACTCACGACAACTCCCAACGGTGTGCGTTTCAGGGTACGCTACGCAGTGCAAAACGGGGAGACAAACCATAGAAAGACAGTGAAATAATGACTGAAAACATCACTAAAACTGCAAATAGGGTTCTCTTGGTTAAACATACATTAGGAAACAGGCATGCAGGGAAATAAAAATTAAGAACGGCAGAGCTGGAAGGGACCCTTAAAGGTCATCCAGTCCAGCCCCTGTCAAGGAGGCACAAGCGGGAATTGAACTCCCAACTTCTGGCTTCAACCCATCTTCTGCTCAGTGCTCTGAACAGAATAAACTTCATTTGGCCAGACTTTGGACATTTTGCTTTCGTTTCGGCTGATGTTTGCCACCACTTCACTAAAAAAAACCCAGCCCCACTTCTCTTTTCTTTTTAATCTGAAGCCAGTTTTCACTTCCCACATGCCGCCCTCGGGGTTTCTAAATTGGCCCATTTTATCTTTGCATGGGTCGAAACAGGCGTGGGTGGCTTGAGCGCCCGAGTCCCCTGACTGATAATGTGCTGGGGGTTTGCGCGCATGGGTGGAAACCGTGTACTCAAGTCCATCAGGCAAGAAGGCATACAGGAATTTCTTTTGAGGGGCAGAAACATCATCCTCACAGTGTATGCCACTGCAGCACCATGCGCATCAGGCCACAGTAACTCCAGGGCCATTTCCCCCTGTTCTAACAATACTTTTCATACCGTTGCTAGATTGAATCACAGATGCGGTGTATATATACCTGGACAATGTCCCAGTGCGTTTTGACATTACTGATTTGATTTCTTCTGTTTGAATCCTTATGCCCTGCTACACCATGATGGCAGTTTACTTTCTTTCTTGTTTTCTGGGGCAATTTTTTTAAAAAATTACTAACCGATATGATGACATGACTTGTTCCGTAAAATTTTCCCCATTGTGCGAGCACCTCTGGAAAACCCGCATAGCACCCAGCATTCTCCTTTAAAGCCATTGACGTAAATTTGTCTACATATCAATATTCCAGCAACCGGGGGGGGGGATTAAAGTGGAGTAAATAATGCTGCCCGTCTTCCCTGCTGTGTTGGCTTCGGAAAAGAATCAAAAGGGTTACCATGCACGTGTATTATAGTGGGAAGGGATGCATCCAAATGCCATTGGAACAAAATAACACAAACCTTCCAGCGAGGAGGAAATCAATGGCACTTACACCGCTGGCCGGGTAGATAAACCGATAATGGCCATGCGTCGTGTGACTGGAAATTTATGCAACCATCGAATTGGGGTATCAGTTGGGAACATTTACCTCCTGTGATGGTGCCCTTAAAATGATGATCAAGGCAAATGGGGATTGCTGGGATATGGGACACATGTTCTGGGACTGTGGAGAAACTCAATCCATGCAGCGCCGACCTAGTCGAGGGCTGAGATGGCGCTCTTGTTTCTGTATGCCTTCTCTCCCTGTCCGAAATCTGGAACAACTTGTCTTCTTGAGAGCTCTCCATGGTCCTGAAACTCCAGGGAATGTTGACTAATCAACCACATCGCTGGTCGGGGGGGGGGGAATCTTTCCCTTTTTCTTAATCCCACCTCGGGATTCTTGAAATATCTCGTCGTTTCCATTTTCCGTCGGGGGCACATAGACGTGTGTGGATTTGGGTCAGCCATTGCCAAAACTGAGCAGACTTAAATTCTCCCACACTTGCTCGCTTCAGACTAACCGGTGATTCCTTGCCCACTAGGGGAGAAATCATGGAGTTCCTTCCTGCTGTGTCTTTTGTTATTTGCTTTTATTTGGACCCACAAACGCACATTATTCTCCCTCTGCAAAATCGCCACCGAAACTATCTTGTCTTCATGCAACCGAGAAGAAGATAATTACGGGATTTTTACCAATACCATCAATCTTCGCCTAACAGGCTGAAATGCCACTTCGCGTGTTCCCACTGGAGGGATATCCCTCCCTTCTGGATGACCTGCACCGGTTGAATTCTCAGCCTGTCGCGCCGCTCACTGAAAGCAGAAATGCCCCATGGGCCAGCAAGCCTGCACCACCTCCCCCAAGCCCTTCTTGTCCCACCGCAAGGATAGCAAACAAGCCTCTGAGATCGTACAGCTGAGAATGGACAGTTTATTTATTGCCACAGAGTTTGAGAACAAGGCCCACGGTTTTCATATACAGCCGCCATCATTTTCTCCATCTCGCCTGCCATGAAAAAACTCATTTCATGCAGAACCTTATTCAGAAGTCAAAAAACAAAAACAAAAAAACCCCGAGTCACGTTTTTCTGGAACACGAGAATGTCCACAACGCGGTGCATAAATAACCTTTTGAGAAGATCCCCCCCCCATTATTTCTGTGACCTTAAAAAGGAGGTTTTCTCAACAGTGGTTGGTTAAATTTTGTTTTTACAAGCCCTACCTCTGTTTGTTAAAATTTATTGGGAAATTGGACCCTACAGAGTTTTTTTGGGGGGGGGGTTACTCTCAGGGAAGCATGTAAAGGATAGAGCTCTGCTGAACATGACCTTTTTCTGTCATGTTTGCATCCTACCTAGTTCGGAAAAATCCTCCCAGAGGTAATAGGGCAGCTTCTCAGAATCCTCACGCCAGCCCTGTGAGGTAGGCCAAGAGCAGCAACAGCAACCAACGCAGCTAATTTCAAGTCCCCTAGATGGGAAAAACTTTTTCTAACTTTTCCCCCCTCCTTCTTTTCCTTATAACCCACAAGACAGTCCTGTGACAGGCAGAAATCCAACAGGGACAGCCTTTACCGGCAAGAAGGTACAATCACAGAGGCCAGGTGCTCCTGGTGAACTTCTGCCTGGTGCAAAGCTCTTCAGGGGCCTGGAGGTTCCAGTGAAGACCAGACCCCCTTCTGCCCTTCCTCCATGGGCAGAAACACAAAGTGGATTGAAAGAAAACCCCATAGAAATCTAAGGATTTCCGCATGCTTTGGACTCTGATCTTTCTGTCGCAAATCAACTCGCGTTTGTATTTTGTGATTGGTCATTGGGGGCGGAGAGAAACACGAGCTTCATTTGAAAGCCCGATTGCTCGGGCATGTAGCTTTGAAGGAACCCCGTGCCTGGAGGGAAAACATTGGAATCGCAAGACGGAGGCATTTCTTTGAATGTGAAATTTGACCCTAAAGATGGGGATGAAGAGCGGGGAGGGATCCTGTGAACGTCTCCATCCTTCACCCACGGGGGGGGGGGGGACTCATCTACCCCACCCCCATCCTCTGAATCGGTGGTCGCTTCTCCATCTCATCTCCCTTGTTCCTGAAGCCTTTGCATTTTCAAAATCTGGAACAGAATGCGCTGGATGTCTTCATCCATGTGGCCCTGGAGAAAGGACAAACATTAGACCATTGGGTGAGTGGAAACCGCTGAGGATTAGACTCAGGAAGTGCGTCAAAAAATTAGTTCTCTCTCTTAGGAAGTCTTTTTCAGATCCAAAACCTGCCAGAAAGCTTGTGGGTGAATCTGCGATTCTCTTGCAACAGGGTGTGCTGTGTTGAGAGACGAACTTGAGCGCAACTCAATGGGTTTGAGGCAGCAAGGATGCCGTGTGTGTGTGTGCTAAAAATTCAGAGAGAGATTTGTGAAAGCTTCTCAATGCTTCATCACATCTTTCTTCGTCCCAGGTTGTAAGACGTGAACCTCAACACAATGGGATACTCACGGTAGGTCTACAATCCACAAAAAAGTAATCTGTCAAGATCACAGTTACTTTTTTTTAAAAAAGTAACTAGTAACTTTCAGGTTACTGAGAGGTAACTAAAATGGCTGCCCTTTTAGTTCCTTTAGAAACAAACACCCAAGCAGTTCAAAGCAGTATTGTACAAGGACACGTCTTCAGAACAAAAGGCACACCCTGGAACCACAAAAGTTACTAAAACAAAAATCCACTTCATCAGATGCAGGATGAAGCATGGCTTTGTTATGCCTCAGTGGTTGCAAAATCAAAGAACGACCAAGAAGTCACAGATAAACCTTGCCAAGGACACACATTCCCATCTCTGTGGGTCTCTTTGTGAGGGTGGGGAATACATCCACCACCAGCCCACATACAGTACATGTTTTGGGTAGGTTTTCCCCAAGTGACCAAGCCAGTTTGGCAAATTGTTCCCAACAACATCACAAAGAACTTGCATATTGCGCAGGTGAATGGCTCTGATTTGGGAATGAAGACTCCTTAACCTTACAAAAGGACCCGCTCCTGTTTGTGGTTCAAAACAGTTACACCTGGCGGCTGGAATTTTTCGACTTTCCTTCAAGGTCCTGATTATGGAAGTGGTCAGAGCGAGTGCCAGGAAATCAGAATTTACTTCTAAATCACTGGTAGTGTGCTACCATCTACCAGCTGAGAGGGAGGGAGGGAGGGAGGAAGGAGCTGATGGATGGAAGGAACGAAGGATGGAAAATGGAGAGAAGGAGGGAAGGAAGGAAAGACGAAGGAAGGAAGGAAGGAAAAATTAGGAAGGATTGAATTGTATTTCAGCACGAGCATTTATAGATCAAAATCCACTTCTTTAGACACCGGAGTGCAAAGACATCACCTGTATGTCTATACAGAAATATATAAATACAATCAATGCACTAGTCCCCCAGGGTCTAAAAAAAAGTAGACTTTGGGCCTGCAAAAGCTTACCCAAAATAAAACTGCTAGTCTTTAAACTACTATAGGATTTTGGATTTATTATTATTATTTAATTATTTTTATTGTTTTGGCTGACATTGTTTCCCTTGGCTGGGTTCAAAGCTCTGGGTTAGGAACCCCAGCCCGGTCTTTCTCGAAGACAGCCTTGAAGAAAAGTGGAGTGGCTGGACTGGTTGGAAGCCCTGGCCCACCATAAAACTCTGCGCTGCTTTGCCATGCAAGAGGGACAGAGGCCGCACCACGTGCCTGTACGCAAGCATGCTGGAGCACACTGACATGCCTACACGCACTCCAAACACTGATAGACAGAGGAATGACCTTCTAGCCTCCTGGAAATCCTGCGGCAGGATTGGTTCTCCTTTGGCTGTCCCTTCCTTCTAAGAACCCAGGTGGCGAAACTGACTCTCCCCCCAACAAAAGTCACATCCGGAGGGGTCCTGAGACTTTTTGGGAGGAAAACGGCGAAGGAAGGAAACAGGAGGGGGAGAAAAGGTGCGGGAGGGGAAAAGGTGTGTGTGATTTCCCCCCCCCACTGCACCAGAGGGGAAAACGACGACGCGGGTTCAAACGTTCAGAGGAGCCCCCATGGCACAGTCAAAGGGATCCTCATTTCTCCGCCCCATGTCATTGTTTCACATCTCACAAGCCCGCAATCAGCCAGGCACCGTCTACGCCATGATGGGCCTACCCGCTCGGTGTCCTGGGGGGCTTCTGGGATGCAGAACCCGTGGGATCAAGCGGGAAAAGGGGGCATTCATGAACGGCTCGCCCAGCCTCCACTCATTCCACAGATAATTTGTACAGGACAACATATGGGGTGCGTCTCTCTCTCATTCACACAAATACACACACACTCTCTCTCTCGACCCCCCGCCCCATAACTTCCACCTCCTTCCCAACAACCAGACCCACCTGGATGGCGTAGAGAAGGTGGCCCCTGTACAGAGAGATTATGTTGTTGTGGCGCCGCTCGGCTTCCTGCAACCAAACAGAGAGCAGCCACTAATACAGAAGATGGAAGTTTGTTTTATAGAATCATAAAATCATGGAGCCAGAAGGGGGAACCTCTAAGGTCATCAAGTCCAACCCCCTTCCTGACACATGGATCCAAATCAAAGGATCTCTGCCCGGTGGTCGTCTTAAGTGTTTCTTGAAGGCCTCCAGTGTGGGAGGACTCGCCCTCTCCCCTTGAGGTCATTGGGTCCCGTTGTTGTGCTGCTCTAACAGGAAGTTTTTCCTTGACATTCACCCAAAATCCGGCTTCCTGTTGCTCCAGCCCATGGCGTCTCCTGCACTCAGGGATGATTGAGGACAGATCCCTCCCTTCCTTTCCAATGTTTGAAAATTGCTCTCCTCTCTCCCCTCTGTCTTCTTTCCTCAAGGGTAAACTTGCCTGGTTCTTTCCATCTTTCCTCCTTCTAGGGCTTGGTTTCCAGCCCCCTGATCCTCCTCTTTCTTGCCCTCCTCTGAACTTCTTCCAGTCCATCAGCATCTTTCTTGAAGTGTGGTGTCCAAAACTGGAACTGAGGACTCAAGGTGAGGCCAAACCAGGGCCGAACAGAGGGAAGCAAGCGCCTCGTGGGAGAGGACTCAAGGTGAGGCCAAACCAGGGCTGAACAGAGGGAAGCAAGCGCCTCGTGGGATATGGAGACCATCAAGTGGTTTCCACCGTTGCTGATCTGACCAATATATCTGGGGCTGTGTTGTTGGGTTTTATAGCCTGAACCCTAAAAGAGCAGCTATGGTGACTGTCCAATACACCCCTGTCTTCTTCCCTTGACTAGCAAGATACTCACCATCAACTGTTGCTCCAGCTCCTTGATTTTGCTCTGGAGTATGGCCACGTCCTGCCGGGGCTCAGCCTTCTGTGGAGAGGCGGCTTTGGGCGAGGCCTCGCCGGCGAGTTCAGACAGGTCGTTCAACGCTTCTTTCAACTTGAAGACCTCTTTGGAAAGTTCTGTGATCTGTGGGAGAGGGACAGGAAGCAGAGGCTCACAGAACAGGAAGCGGAGGCAGCCAGAAGGCAGGAGGTAGAAAAGAAAGTGGAAGTGCACAGTAGAGGAACTGGAAGCAATGAAGAAGAAAGGAAGGCACCCAGAATGCAGGAGGTAGAAAAGGAAGTGGAAGTGCTAAGTATAGGAACTGGAAGCAATGAAGAAGAAAGGAAGGCACCCAGAATGCAGGAGGTAGAAAAGGAAGTGGAAGTGCACAGTAGAGGAACTAGAAGCAATGAAGAGCAAATAAAAAGGCACCCAGAATGCACAAGGTAGAAAAGGAAGTGGAAGTGCACAGAAGAGGAAGTGGAAGCAATGAAGAGTAAAGGAAGGCACCCAGAATGCACAAGGTAGAAAAGGAAGTGGAAGTGCAGAAAAGAAGAACTGGAAGCAATGAAGAGGAAGTGGCACTGCGGGACAGGAAGCAGAGGCACCCATAACATAGGTAGTACAACAGGAATTGGACACATCAGGACATATGACCTCCCTCCCCAAACTGGCCACGCAACCAAATTTCAGTATAATTAGAGGTGTTTCATAATTAATGGCTGGCTTTTGTTGAGCAGCTGCTTTCTTCGTTCATAGCCTCCTCTAGACCCCCAATGTTGAGCTTTTCTTTCCCTACAAAGAAGCTAAACTTCTGTTCTTCTGGTCCGCAGCCAGGAGCCCCTACGACGAATCCGGCCTGCTTCATGTGTTTTAAAGCCCTTGGGTATGCAAATATTTCGAGACGGATTGAAAAGGCAGTTTCAGGATATGGGTCATACTGGAAATCCTCAATCTGTGGTTCCCCACCCGGGGTCCCTGGATGTTCTTGGACTCAACCCCCCCCAAAATCTTCACCACCTGCTGGGCTGGCCAGGCTTTCTGGGAGCCAGAGTCCAAGAGCCTCCGAGTCCCCCGAGGTGGGGGAGACCCCTGGCCCCGAAGGAGCCCATCTGCCCGCGTCAACCCAGCGCTCACCTTCCGATCCTTCTCCTTGACCAGCTTGGCCGAGTCTTCAATGTGGCTGTGCAGCTCCCGGATCCGCTCCGACTCGGCCCGCAGGCCGTGCAGCTGCTTCTCAGCCGCCGCCAGCTGGGCCTCGGCAGCGTGCTTCTCGCTCTTCATGAACAGGGCTTCCCGCTGGACCTGGAAGACTTCCGTGCAGGTGCGCTCGTGCTTGGACGCCAGCTCGCGCAGCTTGGCGTTCAAGGCCTCCACCTCGCCCTGGAGGCTCTGTCGCAGCTGCTCGTGGGCTTCTCGGGACACCGCGCCTCGGCGGACTTCATCCAACTCGGCCTGGAGCCCCGATGCTTCCTGGGCTTTGACTTTCAGCTCTTGCTCCAGCAGCTTGGCTTTGGCCTTCAGCTCCCAGAGGGTCCCCTCCAGAGCTTCCTTGGCCCGGAGGTGCTCGGTCAGGGGCACCGAGTCACGCCGGTACCCTTCTGCCGACTCCCGAAGCTCAGCCAACTCCTTCTCGGCAACACCGCACTTCTCCTTCAGCTCCGAGAGAGCCATTTCGGCCTCAGCGAGCGACGCCTTCAGCTTCCCCACGGTCTCCTCATGCTCTGTCTTGTGGACGTACTCCGAAACCAGCCTCTCCCGGGTGACCCGCAGCTCGTCCTCCAGCGCCGTGCGTCCCTTGCGAAGATCTTCTACCTGCGACTTCAATTCCTCACGCTGCCTGGTCGTGGACTCCAGCAGTCCCCGGAGGCTCTCGGTGTCAGAAGACTCCTTGTTGGCCTTTTGCACCTCCCGGTTTTTTTTATCCAAGGATTCTTTCAGTTCCAGCACCTCGGCTTCAGCAGACGCGCACCTGGCCTGCAGGATGTCCTTTGCCTTGGCTGTCTCTTCCAGTGAGGCACTGAGGGAAGCCTTCATCTCTTGATACTCTTGAGCCGTGTAGCCTCCTCCTCCGGGGTCCTCATCCTCGTGAGCGCTGAGACGGCTCTCTAAGGCCTTCACTGTTCGCTCGCGCTCCTCCAGATCTTCCTGAGCTTGGCGCAAAGCTGTCTTGACAGCCTGGAGCTCACTGTGGTTGCTCTCGACACCATCCTTGTCTTCCATGGAGAGGATTCCCAACTCAATCTGTTCTTGGAGGATCTTCACTTCAGCCAAAGCGGCTTGGTATTTCTCTTGGGTTTCCCTCAGCTCTTTTGCCAGCTCTTCCACCGCGTCGCTCCTTCCTCCTTCGTCGACCGGATGGTTTATCTCTGACCCAAAACCCGAGTTTGTTTCAGCCTTGCGCTCCCTGCCGCTCATGGAACAGTTGCTGCTCTTCTCCAGGGCGTCTCGGAGTGCTTCGGTTTGCTTCTCGTAATCCGCCTTGAGCCGTTCGTAGGCCTCGGCAGGGATGAGCTTGCAAGAAGGTTCGCCCGTCCCCTCGGTGCCATCCAGGGCTTTCAAGACTTCCTGAGCTTCCTCGTGCTGCTCCTTCAGCCGGTCAAACTCGGTCTTGAGGGAGTCGTACAGGATGATGGGGATGAAGTCGCCGGAGGCATCCGCGCCCTCCTCATCTTTCTCGTAGTTCTCCAAGACCTGCACAAAATGGAGCGGCAAAAAAGAAAGAGCATCGGCGCAAGGTGGTGGAGACCACATGGCTTAGTGATGAAAAATGGGTGGATGAAGTCACTGCAATCCTTCAGCATCCTCCCCTTCCACCTTGTTACACGCCATCGAGCCAATTCCGTGTTATAATGATCCTATGAATGAGCAACTTCCAAAATATCCTGTCCTCAACAGCCCTGCTCAGCTCTTGCAAACTCAAAAGTTGTGGCTTCCTTTATGGAGTGAATCCCTCTCACATTGGGGTCTTCCTCTTCTCCTGCTGCCTTTCACCTTTCCCAGCATTATCGCTTTTTTCCGTAGAAAATCCTGCCTTCCTCCTTACTGGTTTATATCACATCTTAATCCCCTGCTTACTGACAGTATTGCCCTTACTCTTCCATAATACATGGCTACAGAAGAGACTGTATTTCCTGAGAATGCTCGGCAAGTTTAATTTATCTCAGCATTTACTTCTGTCATACTATCGTAGCACCATTGAGAGTGTCCTAACCTATGGCATTCTGGCATGGTTTGGGAGTAGCTCTGTAGCGGACAAAAAAGCTCTACAGAGAACCATTAAAATTGCCCAGAATATCATCGGGCTCCAGCTACCAACCCTGGATGACATCTTCACATCCCGCTGTCTGAGGAAGTCACACAGCATCCTGAGAGACTCTTCCCATCCTGCTTATAACTTTTTTGAACTGTTACCGTCTGGCAGAAGATATAGAACAATTAAGACTCGGACCACACGTTTTCTAAATAGTTTTTATCCTAGAGCTATAATTGCAATTAATAATGAGCTTAAAGACCACCAGTAGTGAATAATTAGTTGGACTGTGTTACTTGGACTGAGGTGTAGATGTTTGTATTTTTAGTGGGGGACTTTTAGTGGGTGGGGAGTGTTTGGGAATTTTATGTGTGTGCATGTGTCTGGTCTCTGGGTGTCTGTGAATTTCGTTGTATGTGTATATACTTACAATGACAATAAATGATTATTATTATTATTATTATTGTTGTTGTTGTTGTTGTTGTCGTTGTCATTATTGTTATTGTTATTGTTATTGTTATTATAATATTGCAACTATCAACCAGTCATCTATGTATGGGTAGATGTTTGTACCCTGAAGGCAGAGATCCGCTGCGACTGGTGCCATGCACTTCGTGAAAGTCCTAGGTGCCAGGGAAAGACCGAATGGTAGGGAACAGAATTGGTATACAGTGTCGTTGAATTGGAATCTGAGAAATTTTTGATGAGATGTGAATCGAAATATGAAAGTAGGCATCCTACAGGTCGATAACAACAAAGCAGTCTCCCTGTGAAAGCAGAGGGATAATAGTGTCTAGAGTCAACATTCGAAATCTTTGGGGTCGAATATATTTGTTGAGGTGTCTGAGATCAAGGATGGGACAGAGTCCCCCATCCTTTTTAGGTACTGTGAAGTATTTGGAATAAAAAACATTATATAAGTCAGATGAAGGTAACTTGAGTATGGCCTGTTTTTGAAGAAGTGAAGAAACTTCTTCATGAAGAGTTACAGATAATGGGGTAGATTTAAATTGTCCAGTTGGTGGAATTGATTCAAATTCAATGAAATAATCATATTTAATAATAAAGAGGACCCATTGATCGTCAGTTATATCCTGCCAAGAATGGAGAAATAACCTTGTCTGAAATCAGTAAATGAAACGGTGTGGAGTAATCTGAAACTTATGGGTATTGGACTGGAATATACATCAAAGTAAATAGCCTATTATAAATACTTTTAGGAATCTAAGTAAACAGAGTTACCATAGCAGGAACACTGTAGGCATGAGCTGTGGGGAAAGCCATCCCTTTCCTCAGCACTACTTAGGGCTCAGCTGAGTCATTCAGTTTTTATACATGTGTGGCCAAAGGACAGAACTTTTGGTGGTTCAGCACTGGGGCAGTTCCAGTGCTGTCGGGATTTGCTGTCCTGCATAGTTCAACGAGAGCAGAGGACAAAAAAACATGATGGATTTCCCCCCTTACCTGGAAAGTCCAGTAACTCTCCTTCTTCATCTTGAAGAGTTTCAATGTCGTAGCTGGTGTTCTCCTTCTCGTTCTGTACAAGAGAAAGAGAGAGAGAATGCAGGAGGGGAATCTAACAGGACTAGATACAGCACCGCTTGCCCGAGGGCTTCCCTCAAGAGTAGCCACAGTGTCTCGGTAAGCATCTTCTCTCAAAAATGCAAACCAAGCAAAACCGTGTGTTCCTTAACCCAAGGAACTTAGGACTGTCCCATACCCCCAACCCAAACACACCTCCACTACCTCAGCTGATGAGAGGCGACTCCGAAGGACCTCCAGCTCCTTCCCAAGATTTTCCTTCTCGCCTGTTTTCTCTGCCAGCTGCTTCTGGAGGTCTTCTACCTGGTGGAGCAGGGGAAGAAAACCCAACAGCTTAGGAGATGTAAGCTGGTCCATTTATCCACAGTCTGAAAATATTCAAAAAATTTTAAAAGAACAATCGTAGAAATGAATATTTCTGAAGAGGGAAGCGATCAGAACTGGCCCTGAGAGGGAGCCAGAGGCCATGTGATGTAAATAGTGTTCATGGTTATCCACAGTTCTCGGTATCTCTGGGGGCTTGGACCTGATCCCCCACACCCACAGAACCATAGCTAGAGGTGCTGCTCCCATTCCCTGAGCACCCCCGAAGTGCCTCCAAAATATTCGCCAGACCCCAAAGATTTATGGCAAAGAGGAACTTACTTGTTTCTCTAAGATCCGTATGGAACCGTCTTCGAACTCTGGCTGCTAAAAAAGATCAGGAAATGAAGGAGGAAGAGTTAATGTTGATTAATGAAACAAATGTTATTTATTGGTAATACTACGGGTGAGAAGGATGTCAGAGTTGTTGCAAATCATAAGCTGAAGATGAGCCTACGGTGTGATGTGGCTGCAAAAAAGGCCAATGTGACTTTAAGATGCATTAACAGTAGTAGAGTCTCCAAATCCCATGAGGTGCTCGTTCCCCTCCACTCGGCACGGGTTAGGCCTCCTCTTGGGTCCTGTGTTCCAGTTCGGGACACCGCACTTCACAAAGGATGCTGACAAACTGGAGCAAGTTCAGAGGAGGCATCACAAGGATGAGATCAGGGGACTGGAGATCAAGCCTTATGAAGAAAGACTGAAAGGACTCAGCAAGTTTAGCCTTGAGAAATGAAGGCGGAGGGGAGACAGGAGAGCATTTTTCAAAGACTTGAAAGCTAGTCCTACAGAGGAGGGGGAGGATCTGTCCTCCATCATCTGAGAGTGCAGGACACGCCATCATGGGCTCAAGCAACAGGAGGCCAGATTTCGGATGAATCTCAGGAAAAACTTCCTAACTATTAGAGCAGTACAATGACAGGACCCATGACGTCGGGAGGTGGTGAGCGCTACAGTGCTGTGGCGGCATTCATGAGAAATTGAGACCACCCCTGGCGGATCTGCTTTGAGTTGGATTCCTGCCTTGAGCAGTGGGTTGGACTGGATGGCCTCCGAGGCCCCCTTCCAATCCCATGGTTGGAAGGGGGGGGCTCTCTTTACCTCTTGCTTCTGTTTCTCCTGCTGCTGCTCCAGACTCCGGATCTTCTGGAGGAACTGCGCCCTCTCCTGCCGCAGCCTCATGATTTCCTCGTAGGCATCCCGGTCCTCCTAGGAGAAGAGAGCATTAGGCGCATGAGAGAAGGTGCATGGGAACCCCTTTGCATGGGTTCACTCCAGGATCTTT